TTTTTTAGAACATCGAATTGTACTTATCGCATAAAAACGTAAGAACGTGCTTTACACAGTTCGTGTTTTATAATCTTAAAGTGAAAGACATTTTTGAAAATAGGTGATGCATGTGTCTGGTTTCAAATTATATTTTATGTAGCCAACATTTACTTGAGGAATTGATAAAGTTTAAAAGGGTATCGTTTTTGTTCGATTTTCATCCGACTATAAGTTTTCAAAATATTCTCTACTATCGTCTCCATCATTTAGACGCATGCCTTTTTCACACATATCGAAGCGGTTTGATGATCAAGACTCATTTCCATTGTTTACTTTATTTATTTCCCGGGCGACAATTGATGGTTACATACTAAAGTACGTTTTTACGTTTTTATGCGATAAGTAAAATTCGATGTTCTAAAAAAAGGGACCTGTCGTTTTTTCGATAGTAAATGATAAGCAACTTTATATATTAAATATGAAAAACATATATATTTTTTACAGATTCACTTTATGGAAGTAAATATATTGTGTATCTAGTAATTTATAAAGGGAAAGAACATTCTGATTAACAATCTTTTTAATGTTTAGAAAACCTTTAATTCTGAATAACTTCTCCCACCTCAATTCCCATATACCAACACTTAAACTTATATGTATAGAGCAGCCCGGTCCTCCGGGCTACATTTAACTTGTTTATTGTCAATCTGTGCCAAAATAACTGCTCATTTTTTATTACAGATTTTCTAAAATCGCATTTAAATTTTTTCAATGAAATAAGCTTATTTCAATCATGTTTAAGCGTTCTATGACCCCCCCCCTCTCTCTCTCTTGCATTTTACTTTTACCTTTTAGTAAATAAGCATATGCCTTATTAGTTTTCTATTCTCTATCGTGGTAAAGCGTCTGTACTAGAGTCGCGGAGAAAGGAGTTGATCCTTACGTCGCAGGTTCGAATCCCACTGTGGGACGTGGAGACCGGTTCTTCGGATGAGACCGTATAAATCGAGGTCCCGTGTTGCAGTAGGTGCTGGCACGAAAAAGATCCCTCACTGCTCAATGACCCTGAGTGCCGAGCAAAGGTCAAAATGCAGCTCTCCACCGAAAAAATTCTCGAGAGGGACGTTAAACAACAAACAAACAAATAAACAAACAATATTCTCTATCCAGAATTGACGATCTCTCTAAATACTCCAACATACAGCTCTGTCAATGCTTGTTAAACGCGATTCTTGGAAAACATGTAAATAATGAAAAAATTGTAAGAATAATCTTTTTTTTTAATATATTTCTTATCGGTAAACAGGATTCATTTAAATTTATTAATCCTTTAAAAGTTTTTCATTCTTAGTCCGCAAAATAGTTCTCTAAAAACTTTGATAATTAAATCGTTTAGAGGAAGGATGGTACAAATTTAAAATAAATGAAAGATTACCAACTTTCTCGATAAAAGCAATAATTAATTTCGACTTTAATTTTCAATGAAGCAATAGTCTAGTTATCAGAAATTATCACAATGATACGTACTACAGATAATATTATCCTGGGAAAAGGAGACGGGTTACAGAAGGCTGCAAGGATATGCTGAAAGAGATGGTGGCAGAAGCTATTCCTACAATAGCGAGCAAGGTTGTGGCACAGCTACAATAATTGAATAACCCACCTAACAGCTTGTCGCAATCTGCATCTTCATTTGAACAGAGTCATGCAGCTGCATCAGTACAACAACCCCTCCCTGGAAATGACACAACAAACAAAAGTCAGCAAACATCAACAGAAAGTGTCGACCAGACATCACATTCTATGCCTATGTATTGATCTGAAAATAAAATCTAAAAAATGGGCAGAGGAGTATATTCAGCTAGGTTCCCTAATTTTCAAGCAAACCTCTGCCAAGCTTGAGGCTGTCCAAGGAAAGGATAATTCATTTACCTTTCTTTCAAAAGGATCACAAGTACTTCTTCAAATCCCTCCAACAGGGGATGAACGTTTTTCATGTTTTTGTAGCAGTGAATTGCGAGAAATTCCCATCACAATCGCCATGCTTAATGAAGTACATGGCAACAATTCAGAAACTCAGCAACGATGTCGGTGAAAAAGCAGCTTTTTACTCCGATGAACAGTTCCGGTCTTGGAGAGCCGAAAATCCTGCTCAAATGTCCTGGGACAAAATCAATGCATAACTTCACTTGAAGGCATTACAAGTTGGACTTAAAAGTCGGTTAGAAATAAATGAAAAGACTAACAAACAGAAAACACAAGGCCAGCAGCCCTTTCGTGGGAAAAGTAAGAAGCCATGCTTCAGCTACAACAACAATAATGGGAACTGTGTTCGACCAAACTGTGAGTACGCGCAAATCTGCAGTAGATGTTTTGGAGAGCACCCAAAGAAAGAGTGCAGCATGTTCTCAGAGCCTAACAAGAAACTCATTACAAACTCTAGTAAACATCAAAACCCAGCAAGCCAGCCTAGAAAGTGATATTAGATTAAATGTTATTGTTATAACCCCTGTTGATGCAAGGGCATTAAAGTTTTGGCTACATGGCTATGAATCTGAAGAATCAAAATTTTTGTTGGATGGTTTTACTTTTGGATTCAAAATTCCTTATACTGGACCAAGACAATTTCGGCATAGTAAAAATCTTCCATCGGCCATAGATAACATAAATATTCTTCGACAAAAATTGATATTGAAGTTCACAAAGGGCGTGCAGCTGGTCCATTTACAATTGATAATTTACCTCTTAACAACCTTTAAATATCCCCACTGGGGTTGGTACCTAAACAGAAGAAGGGAGAAATCAGAGTTATACATCATTTGTCCTACCCAGAGGGGCCATCAATTAATGATGGAATTTCAAAGGAATATTCTGCTGTGACATATCAAAACTTAGATGTTGCTGTTAAGCTGGTTAAACGGTTTGAAAGAGGAATCCAGCTTAAAAGTATCGTTAAAAAAGGAATACTTTACGAAATATATAAAAATATAGTCATTTATCGATCCCTTAGCTGCTAAAGGTAGTGCATAAAAAGTGGAATCCAGCTCCTTTTCATAATGTATATAATGTAAAATAGTCATTCTACAAATATACGCCCAATTAAGAACTTTTCATGTCGCTTACAAATTTACCGTTGTAATATCTGAACTATAATTTTAAAGATCGATTTCAATTCTAAGATTTCACATACATACATTTTTTTGTAAATATTTAGCGATATATATGCAGTTTAAGTTTTGATGTGAACAAAATATAATGTTTAAAACGTTTCCCACTGCAAATCTTAATGTCGCTTCATTCATTTACAGATTTCAAGATGAATTTGTCAGTCGTATAAGTTTGCAAGGAATGTTAAAGAAAAGTTTTTCCTATTTTAAAAAGAATATAAACCGTTTCTCGCGAATAAATGCATGGATCTTCTTTTATGCGAAATCATAGCATGTCGCTGAAAATCAATTAACTTCCGTAACGATTTTGTTTTAAGTTGCACGCACAGAATGCAGATATCACAAAGAACTGACACCTAGCTGAAAGTGACCATGGAACCTTATTTCATCGATTCTAGTTGCAGTCAGCTACCTTAGACTATTATATTTTCGACATAACAAAATGAATTATATAAAAACAAGTTTTTGTTTTAAAAATGTAACTGTTTTTCTATTAAAGGGGCCTTGACACAGTTACATTGTTTACATTCTAAATTTCTATGCTTATTTAAAAAAATGAAACAGTTAAATGAATTGAAATTACGTGATCGAATATTCTTAGAATTCAATATCAACGACATACTTCTTTACATCACATCAAACATCTAGTTTTTGTAATCAGGGCAAGGGCTCTATTATTGTTTTAGTTAATGTTTCACTGGATGTGGTCAATTTGCTAAACTCTACATGCATCACTGAACACGGACAATTAATACTGGTGAGTTGGTTTTGGTTTCTCACATTTCTACTCTGAATTTTCTGGGTCATAGTTCGAATATTTTTTTTTTATTAATACACAACAAACTTTCTACTTTTCGAGGATTAAATTTACTTTGTGACAGTGCAAGGATGTGTCAATCAAACGCGTCCCGAAATTCGAAGTTTCAATAATTTCCAGATAAAAGAAGTCTCTGAACACGCTTTTATTATATTTCCGTGTGAAATGCTATAGCAACATATAAGTTATGATATTATACAGAAAATTTGAGAAAATATTGACTTCAAATCTGTGTCCAGGCCCCTATAAAGGTATTAACAAATTATTAGTTTGTGAGCGAAATACTTCATACTTTTGATTTACATCTTAAAACAAACGTTAATTTTATCTATTGCTGAGGATTTCAACTTTTATTACTGGAAATTAACTTCCGTAACGATTTATTTCCGTAACGATTTATTTCCCGAAATTTTAACTGAATATTGGATTCATGCGAGATTTCAAAAATTATACCTTAGCGCTCCATAATGAATATCAGAAAACAAAAACTGGTCAAGGCAGCTTCAATTAAAAAAATGATAAGACATCTATGTATAGAATAGGTCTCGTCTGTTCAAGCATTAACTGCCGTAACATTACCTTAAACCAATGGTATACTAAAATTGTTGTAAAAAGTTAACTTCACCAGACCTGTGGATAATAATTTTTATTTTTCAAGTGCACCGATATGTCCCTTAGTGAAATATGTTGTTCAACTAGCTATTTGAATCACTAGGGGTTTTTTTATGTTACAGTTTATACCCTGGATTGGTCCTTTTTTGTAGAATGACTGAAAAGTCTTTCCTGGTAGCTGACAGAATATAAAATTTTATTAATATGAGCGACTGATTCAACATTAACTCAGTAAAATATAGTGCCATTTAAAGGATATTTATTACCTGTATTCCATACATCGGCAATGTACAAAAAGAAAGTTTTAAATGATGAACGAAATTAAGTACTGTATGATTGAAAATGCTTTTGAAACATAGGAAATATATGTACATTTTGTTAACAAACATTTTGAATGAACTTTGGCGATTAAATGTCCGCTTTCATACATTCAAAAATCTATATAATGAGATAAAATGATACAAAACAGAGACAGAAAGGGCAAAAGTTCGGCCACCACACTACCAGCTGCATTGTGTCCATCAACAGCATTAGGAAGGACTACCCTCTTCGTGGTAGAGATTGGCGCTCGAGTAGTTGAATGGATTGTTGTTAATCTGCATACCTCAGGGGGATATTGTGGGCAGTCTGGAGGTCTGTTTGGATTATCTGGGGCACATTCCTGGCAAAGTAATCCACCAACACCGGGATCAGGGTTTGTTGATTGATCTTTAAAAAAAATCTACAAACATTATAAATTTAAGAAAAGGGCATATAAAACATTTCCAGAGGTGGGATCAGATGCCTAGAAAGAACAGCCCCTGTTTACCGGTAACACCCGCTGTGAATCCTATGCATAGATCAGGTTTACGGAAAATTCCGTAGTCAAATAGTTTAAAAAGAAGGGCCTTATAATTGGTATGAAAAACGTCAGCTTAAATACGATCCAGTGATAGGTTAAATTTGTTATTAAACAAGGACCTTATAACGACCATAGAATTTACGCATGAAATCTAAACATACAATGATACATAATATTTCTTTTCATTGAATGTATATTTTAATTCTACACACATATTAAACATTTTTTCCATATCATTATGATAAAACAGGAAGCTTTTAAAATGCCATTTTATTAACCAATGGTTTTTTTCCTCTTTTGCGTAGGTTGTTTCGTTGTTTGGTTGTTTATCGTCCCTTTCGAGAATTTTTCACTCACATTGAAATGCCACCACTTGCCGAAAGGCTGCAAATTTTAGACTTACACGCGGCACTCAGGGCCATTAAGCAGTGAGGGATCTTTTTCGTGCCAGTACCTACCACGACACAGAACATCGCTTTATACGGTCTCATCGGAAAAACCTGTCTCCACATCCTGCAGTGGGATTCGAACCCGCGCTGTAATGATCAACTCTGGGGCAAACGCTCAAACCACTGCGCCACGCTCTTTCACGTGGTATATTACATCAAAACACACCATTATGGAGTCCTCGGGCCCAGAAATCAGCCTCTTGTCTTAATCGTAAATGCATATATAAATCATAATTTAAAGGCTTACACTCTGGGGTTATCAGTAGGGGCTGTGACTGATGCTCCATAAGTTGAACCTGTCGAAAATGTTAAAATCTCCTCTGTTGTTAATCCTCGGACTGAATGAAAACAGATTTTTTTTTCAAATATCACAATAACATAAATTAGTAAAATACAATCTAGAATAATAACAATTTATTGGTAAATTGATGTTGTATACAGTAATGTATCCTTTTATATCACGACATATACTGAGCAAAATAAGTTAAGCAATTAAAAATAATATAACACTTAAAATTCCAAGGATTTTTTTTTTAAAAATTGAAATTACAAAATTTTACCAAAATCAATAACATCATAACATGCAACTTCTCAACACTTTTTACAACCATACCCCACGATGAATTAAAGTCTAGGCTTTTTGACATCATAGAGAGATGTTTTTCAATACAAATGGAAATCGTAAATTTAATTGAGAAAAAGGGAAAAATTCCTGTGACCTTCAACTGGACATTTAAATATATCGACGACGTATTATCAAGATAGAATATAGAAATAGACGACAATGGTAACCTAAAAACAAAATTTGACGATAAACGTGATGACTTTCTTTCTATCGTTAACTACCCTTACTTATGTAGCAATATACCTTTATCACCTGCATATGGGGTTTATGTCTAATAGTTGATTCGATACTCAAAAGCATGATCTACGTGTGCACAATTTCTAAAACGCATTATTGAAAACTAGTTGATGAAACAAGAATATCAGCAGTCTCGTTTAAAGTCATCATTTCGCAAGTTCTATGGTCGATACAATGACCTTGTCGGCAAACACAATCTAAAGCTATCCTTAAGTTGAAAGCTGATTGCATGACCTTTTTCATACTAATTGTTTGGTCATTATTTAAACACTGAATTTTCTAAGGATTTTCCCGTTTGTCCGATCATGACAAGGATCACACGGCGGGTGTGACGAGTCGACAGTTGATGCTTACTCCGCCATCGCACCTGATCCCAAGTCTGATGTTTTCAGAGGTCCGTGTTTGCTCTGCCACCCATTTGTATTGTTTCAATGGACTTTTGAGCACTTGTATACTGCTTGTTATCTCTGTATATCACTATAACATTAAAGAAAACAAGACATTACATTTATAATGATACTGAACTTTTGGGTTGTCATCATCGTGTAACCATAAAAAAAGTCCAAATTCATCGACAAACTTGTTCTGGTACAAAAGAAAACAATGGGAAAAAAATTAAAAAGGGGTACGGGTTGTAAAGTCACATTCAAATCTAATATTTTGTATACACTTAACAAAACTTCACTCTAATAAAAGTATTTATTTAAAAACTACAAGATAGAATGGTATGATGTTTTCAAATTAGTATAACCAACGAGTCTTCTCAACAAATGTTGAAAGAAAATCAATTATCACCGATGAAAACCAATGTACCGTGACGAAGCGTAAAAACAATAAATCTGTATTTTGTGGCAAGTGTTTTGTGCGATCAGCATCTTTTTGTGACCATTTTCAATTTTTGAAAACTGGTTTAACTAAAAAACACAAAACATTGGCAAAATGACCATTGAGAAAGGAGGGAGAGCCGTTGGAATGTTGTTATCCGGATCATCCTTGCACCATGTTTTACTCACTTTTATTTTAGTGTTTATCTGTCCTTGATATTACTTTTAAAAATTAACAACAAGTATAAAAACCCATTTAAACACTTTTTTCTATAAGTTCTGCGTCATTTTCATCGCCAACTTGTCACAATTTGAAAGTTTTGGACAAAATTTCATCAAACCGGAAGTGATCTGGATCTTCGTCTGAGGCCAACGTTTCGCATCACAACTAGGTTAAAAGTTTGTTACATTGTCCTGAAACAATTTTAGAAACATTAAAACAAACGACTTAAATGGTAAGAAAATGATAAGAAATTGGTGCTGGTGGCAGTCTAATATCATCTCAAACAGTCTGAATCATCCTTAAAGAGGTACACTTACGTGCGAAACGCCCAAGAATATTGACCAAAAGGTATCTGTGATGATGCACTGTCAAATTCCCGGATCTGAATCCTATTGAATACATTTGGGATTTTTGTCAGGAATGTTAAAGCACGCCCCCTCCCCCCCCCCTCCACACAATTTCAACGGTTTAGAAAGATCCATGCAGTAGGTTTGGCAGCAGATGGGTCAATATCCTATTCAGGGGTACATGGTATCCATGAGAAAAGAATATGCCTTGCAGTAATTTAAGCGAATGGTGGTCTTATTCCTTAGAGATTATTTTATGTGAATTTTCATTTTGAGGGTACATCATGTCCTTGACACTTTGCTTAAAATTCTGACGAGATACTTACACGAAATTTACGCAACATCGAACTGAAATATGCATCATTAACCATGAATTAAAGAAATTATCTATTATATGCATTTGTTTTTTAAAACATAAAAAAATGTTAGGTGAACACTTAGAAGTTTGGTTCAGTGTACACGGCCTCCATTTTCAGCAATAACAGCCATACAACGGTGTCTCATCCTTATAATATGTGCCTTATCTCAAGCACGGTGATTATGTTCCACTCGAGCTGTAGGGCAAGGACAGTTCAGATACGTTGTTGACGTTATGTCGTTATGATAATTAAAACACGACCAAGAATGTCCCAAACGTAATAAATCTGAGACAAATTTGAGACAAATCTGGTGATTTCGCGGGCCAATTATTCAAAGACCATATAGTATTATTCTGATAAAGGACGTCTTGTTCATGCCGTTTGGTGTACCGTCGGGTGTTGTCTTGATGAAATAGGCTCGCATTTCCTCGATACAGCTATTAAACAACAAAAGGAACGACAATATTATTATCTCGTAGAATTTTTCTATTAATAGTCACATGGTCAATTTTACCCTTTGGCTTCCACCCCAAATCATAATACTTCCGCTTTCGTAGCCATTACGTTGGATGATTTTTTTCTGGATCATATCCCTCATTTCTGCGTCAACAAATATGGACCCTTCCATCCATAAAATCGACGCTAAAACGTGACATCGGTAAACAAAGTCATTCCACTGTCGTTGAATCCAAATGTCGTTGACATTGAGCTAGTGGATGAGAGATGGATGAGAGATCTTCGAGTTAGAATATTTGTGGAACGTAGCCTGTTTGTTACAATTTGTCCACATAACCTCTCTTCAGAAGCACGGCATAATTCGTCCGGATCTTTAGAATCAGCCATGAAAAGGTCTCGACGTTGTAATGATAAAACTATCTGGCCTAACAGTCATCTTTTGTGAACGTTTTAAAGGTTGCAGATCAGTAACATGAGGACTGTGGTACGAAATCGTTTTTTAAAGTCTGCATATGGTGGACAGATGCACATTAAAGTGTTTTTGTGAGCTGACAGCAGTTACCATCTTTTTTTCGGAAAGTCCTGGTCGTTTCCCCATTAGTCTTTTTGTGCTCGAAAAGATTTTCAAGAGGAAAATTCTTCGCAAAGCGTGGACATTAAAATATAACCTATTATATTGTTGAATTGTCTCTTCGATGGACAACACGTTTTCCGACAGTTAAGTTTTAAAAACATAATTGTCTTTTGGTACCTTTATATCTATTGGTTTTAAGTAAAGCTAATAAAACTTTCAAGATACAATCTTACAAGATACCACAAATTCTGACACATCTGTTTCATATTTAGATATTTTACTAGAAAAAGATGTTATTGGTAACCTTACAACAAAGCTTCATGATAAACGTGATGACTTCAACTTTTCAATCGTCAAATTCCCTTACCATGTAGCAATATACCCTCAACACCTGCATATGGGGTTTATGTCTCTCAGTTGATTCGATACGCAAGAACATGGTCTACGTATGAACAATTTCTAAAACGAGGCAAGCTATTGACAAACAAGTTGATGAAACAAGGATATCAACAGTCTCGTTTGAAGTCATCTTATTGCAAGTTTTACGGTCGATAAAATGACCTTGTCAGCACATACAACTTATCATTGAGTCAAATTGAGTTTTTCATACTTAGTTTTAGGCCATTATTTATACACTGAACTGTCTACGGGTTTTTCGTTTTTTTTTCCCCGATCATGACAAGGAGCTCGAGCACAGGGCGGGTGTGACCGGTCGTTAGGGGATGCTCACTCCTCCATGGCACCTGATCCCACCTCTACAATTTGAGGTCCGTATTTGCTCTGCTCCATATTTGTATCGTTTCATTGGACTTTCGAGATTGAATACTGTTCGTTATCTTCATGTTTCATTTCAAGAAAAATATTTTAAAATTATGCCTTTGTGAAAATGGCTAAACTTATTTTTTTTTCAGATTGCATGTTCGATTTGAAATGGTTTAGATGGTCATCTATATGTTATGTTGATATTTGATTACGTATCCATGTCTTTTTTAATGTTTTAAATTGTCAGTTATAAAGAAAATGAGAAAATTAGATACGTTCGCTTTAAACACTTAATATTAGACAATAATTAACCTACAATGTGTATTGTCCCTTGTTCTAGATGTTGTAACATCCTCAACAGGAGTACGTTTAGCTGAATCCATCGTAGAGGACCTGCATTCCTCTGGTGGGCATATCGAGCAGTCTGTTGGTCGGTTAGGATTATCAGGTGCACATTCAGGACGTTGTTGACATTGACATTGACATTGACAAGGTTGGAACCAGTACATTAGTGCGATGAACAGTATGAAGCTTCTCATGTTTCCTTTAGTTTCCTGCAGATAATGATAATCATTTAGCATTTTAACTTGTTTATTGTCAATCTGCTTTCCAGATAATTGGTCATCTTTTTATCCCACCTTTTTTTTTTAGTCGCATTTCAATATTTTCAATGAAATAAGCTTATTTCAAGCATGGTTAAGCGTTCTATGACACCCTCTCGCCGTCTTGCATTTTACTTTTACATTTTTGTAAATAAGCATACGCCTTATTATCTTTATCCAGAGTTGTCGATTCCGCTAAGCTCCCACATACATCTCTGTCAACGCTTGTTAAACATGATTCTTGGAAAACATGTAAATGATGAAAAATTGTATAAATAATTGTCTTATCGGTAAACAGGATTTATTTAAATATATTAACACTTTAACGTTTTTTTTTTTAAGTTTTCTAAAACTTTGAAAATTAAATTGTTTTGAGAGATGGTGCAAATTTAAAATAAATGAAAGATTATCATCTTTCTCGATAAAAACAATAATAAATCTCGACTTTATTTTTAAATTTTCACGGTTTAAAAATTTTACAAAAACCTTGTACAACGAGCATTGACAGGGGTGTTGGGAGCGTAGCGGAAGACAACTCTGGATAGAGAATGTTCAGGTTTCCTATCTCCTGAATCAGCATTGATGTGTAAAAACCCTTCGCATTCGTTACAACCGATTGGTTTTACTTTGTCGCTGCTGCGTGTAGTACATGTAAACATAACATTTTCCTTTTTGTTTACATTTCATTGAACGTGCATTTGTGTTTATTTCACTTTGCACGTTGACCTGTGCAAGAGCGTCGATGCTATGGCCTTTGAGTTTCATCCCAGCAAACCAAAGTTATAAAGTTGATAAAAACCGTTTGACGTAAGAGTTTTCCTAATTAGAGATATTATTTATCAAAATTACACAAATCAAAATGCACTTTGCAATAGCAGAAAAAATCTGTCCCTTTTATACTCGGAGTATTCAGTGGCAAAATGATATTCAAATTATTTTTAAAAATTCTCTGTTACAAAGAGCATTTTAATTTGTTCTTTTGTACATAGAATATCTCTTTCTTAGAAAGTTGAGTAAAACAGTTTTTGACTTGATACTTATGATTTGCAGGGGTGTAACTCCAAGGTTTCAACATTCAGGAAAATTAACAGATTTTGTTTCAACAAACAAAAAGTTGCCTTTAGAAGAACTTTAAACAGGATTGACATAGACCTCTTTGATTTTCAACAAACTATGTCACAATACAACATGTTCTTTAGAATCACAATTTATCCTGATTAATTTGACTCAGCGTAAATCATGTGGATATACATATACTCTTTGGTTTTATAAAAAGAAAACAACCCACTTCTCGCGAAGAAGTGCATGGGTCTTCTCTCATATGTAATCACTGCATTTCGCTTAAGGTAGAACCTTAAGTCTTTGTCACAAGATTCCCAAACTTTTCAAAATGATAAATTAGCACTCGCTTATCAATCAGTTAAAAATATATGAAATGTTTCCTTGTTATTAGATGTAGTACAGCCTGTGCAACTTGGAATTATAATTTTACCCTGCGAATACAGCCATTTTTAGGGGTTCTGGTCTGAAAGAGAATATAGAAAATCACAAAAATACTTCTTCAAACATCGCCATTTATAGACTTTATTAACTGAACCGTATTAAGCAATATTATTCAAGAATAACTTCTTTTTAATTCAATTGACACAAAAGGTTAAGTCCTCATTTCAACGAATATAGGCAAATGAGCTCAATATTTTTTGAGTCAATTAACAACCTAAATTTGTAAATATTTTTCAAAAGTCTTTGTCAGTATGTTTTTAATCTTTAATATGATGAAGAACATACCCAAATAATTAGAAAAAGTTATTAAAATACACACCTTTTCCCGCGAACTAATGAGAGACACTCTATTTATCAATCCTTCTTTCGTTGACCTTTTTGCACTTACACAGGATTTAATTATTAAATGACTGTTTTGGGGCTTACGTTCAGATTTACAATGTGAATATTTATCAAAAAATTTAATTTTTTATTTAAAAAAATAATATCTAAGAGAAACATTATTATTATACACCAACTATTATAAATGAGTAATAAATAATTATGAAAAGGAATGCTCGTAATTTCATGATAAACATTACAAAATTTACACACAACCTTTAACAGATCTTTGACTCAGACACATTTCATCAAGATACTAGTATTGTACTACTTAGATTTCTAAGGATTTGTGCATTCCTTCAAAATAGTTGTATGCCATTCACATTATCACAGTTGTGCAACTTCATTACAGGAGACAATCTTGGATTAAAACCGTAAAGTACGGGAAAAAGTAGCATTAAATTAACTATGACGTCATAATGGGTCAAGCACCAAAAAGACGGACTAAACTCATTTACTCGATATGACGTCATACGACGTAGGTTCTGCGTTAAAATTCAATTAACTTCCATAACGATTTTGTTTTAAATTGCACGCACAGAATGCAGATTTCACAAAGAACTGACACCTACCTATAAGTGACCATGGAACTTAAGATCATCGATTATAGCTGCTACTGTCAGCTACTTTAGACCATTATATTTTCGACATAACAAAATGAATTGTATTCAAAAACAATTGTCTTTTTAAAAAATTGTAACTTCCGTAACGGGAATACAGGGACGTTTTTGCATTAAAGGATATAAAAAACCATAAGAGTGGGAGCGAAATATTTTATACTTTTGATTAAGATCTCAAACATTAATTTTATCTATTACCGAGAACTTACTATTATTACTGGAAATTATTAGATTAGATGATCATCTAAAATAATACCTAAGCGTTCCATACTGGACATCTGAAAACGAAAAACGGATCAAGGCAGCTTCATTTAAAGGGACCTGGACACAGATTTAAACTTTATATATTCTCATATTTTCTGTCATAACTTATATGTTACTACAGCATTTCACAGGAAATATAATAAAAGCGTGTTCAGAAACTTCTTTTATCTGGAAATTATTGAAAGTACGAATTTCGAGACGCGTTTGATTGACACATCTTTGCGCGTAATCCTTAAGAAAAGTAGAAATTTTGTTGTCTACTGATGAAACATATTAAAACTATAATCCAGAAAATTCAGAGAAGAAATGTGAGAAAACAACTCACCAGTTTTGTCAATTCGTGCTCTGTGATGTGTGCAGAGTTTAACAAATTGGACACACCTGGTGAAACGTAAACATTAACAATAACAGAGCTCGTGCCCTGTTTACAAAAACAGGTTTTTGACTTGATGTAAAGAAGAATGTCGTTGTCATTGAATTCTAAGAATATTCATGTAAGATCAATTCATTAACTGATTTTATTTTTTGAATAAGCATAGAAATTTAAAATGTAAACAATGCAACTGTGTCCAGGCCTCTTTAAAAACTTATAAGACCTGTTCCAATGTGTACATACAGGTCAGATGCTTCCTACGGTGTTGGTTTGATGACACAACCTCTTTGTAGAGTATGGGCCTATTCAAGCATTAACTTCCGAAACATTACCTTAAAACCAACGGTATATTGAAATTTTTGTAAAAAGTAAACGATACCAGATCTGTGGATAATTATTTTTAGTTTTCAAGTGCACTGGTATATTCCTTAGTGAATTATGATGTCAACTAGCTATTTGAAACACGTATTTTTTTCATGTTATATACCCTGAATCTGTCCTTTTATCGTAAAATGACTGACAAGTCTTGTTTATATGGGCGAACTTCTTCAACTTTAACTCAGTAAAAATATAGCGCTATTTAAGGGATATCAATTACGTGGATTCTACATCGGCAATTTAAAAAAAACTGTTTTAAACATGTTTTAAAAGTATAGTTGACAATGCTTTTTAAACATAGTACAATATATGTATATATTGTTAACGAACATTTTGAACTTTGGCGATTAAATATCCGCTTTCATACATTCAAAAATCTATATAATGAGATAAAATGATAGAAAACAGAGACAAAAGGGCAAAAGTTGGGCCACCACACGACCAGCAGCATTGTCTTCATTAACAGCATTAGGAAGGGTTACGCTGTTCGTGGTGGATGTCTAGATTGTTGTGGATCTGTATCCCTCGGGAGCAGATGTCGGGCAGTCTAAAGGTCTATTTGGATAATCTGGAGCACATTCCGGGCTATGTCCTCCACCACCGCCGGGACTAGGGTTCGTTGATAGATCTAAAAAAAAAAAAATCTACAAACATTACAAATCAGGAAAAAGGGCATACAACACGGACCTCCGGAAATTACAGCGATGTGATCAGGTGCATAGAAAGAGTATGCAGCCCCTTTTGACTGTTGACCTGAGGCCTTATAATTGATATGAAAAACGTCAGCCAAAATACGATCCAATGATCGGTTATATTTGATATTTAACAAGGTCATTATAACGACGATAGAATTTACGAAATGCTGACATGCTGACTTTAAACATGGTTGTTAAAATTCACGTTACATTAAGTTATCTTTCAGTAGCTCGTCTCCGTTTAAAAATTGATCGTACTCGAACCATGCTCTTAAGTAACGAATAAGCTGGGAGAAGTAATACCATATTCAGGTGAAAGCGGAATGTTACTACAACAATACTAAATAAGGAAAGTTGACGGTGGAAAAGCTAAAGTCATATTGTTTGTCAAACAATTTAGTTGTTAGTTCGCCCTCCTCGTTTATAATCAGTAATACATTCAAATAAGAAACAGATGTGGCAGACTCTGTGGTGTCTTATATTTCAAGCTCAGAAGGATATATGGAGTCGACATATAAGTGGAAGTAACTATTGTTAATTGATAAAACGTCGTCGATATATCGTCGATTTTAAGGCCACGGTAGGTCTTTTCTAGTAGAATTTTTTA